CGACATCCGCAGGCTGCGGATCGGGCACGGCTCCTCCGGCACCAGCCTCCACCCTGAGCGTCGCGGGCACTGCCCCTGCCGGCGCCCCCAAGGCTGGGAGTGCCCGGGCCAGCGCGGCAGCTCCCGAGAGGAAGAAGCGCAAGCGCTGCGGGCTGTGCGGGCCCTGCCAGCAAAAGGCCAGCTGCGGGGAGTGCACGCACTGCAGGAACCGGAAGCACAGCCACCAGATCTGCAAGCGGAGGAAGTGCGAGGAGCTGAAGAAGAGGCCTGCGGCCCTGCTGCCTTTGGAGGTGAGCGCGCGCGCGGCCGCGGGACAGGCCCGGTTGTGCCTCCAGCCCGCGTCCTGTCAGTTGGCGACGCGATGCGTCCTGGCTTTAGCTGAGGGATCTGGGCCGCCTGACCGCGTGCAAAGAGAGCTCTGCTTTCTTGTAGAATTTGTACCAGAAAGTTAGAACCCACAGTTCTTCCATCCTAGCATTTGATAGAGACATACGGAATTCCTGAAGGTGTGGTTTTGCAAAGATTTGCACTGTGCCTGGCTTTGGCTAGTTGCTTGTCTTTATTTGTCTGGTTTTGGTTTTGGTATCAAGAATCGAACTCAGGACCTTGTACTTGCCAGGCAGGCACTTTGCTTGTCTTTTCTTGTGTGTGGATTATGGATTTAAAATTTAAGAGTTGAACAGATTAATTAGCTCTCATAAAACCTGGGGGGAGAAACAGACAACCTAAAACCCCCCTTTTTTTTTTGTCTTTTTGAGACAGGGTCTCGCTGTGCAGTTCAGGCTGGCCTTGAGTTCGCTTTGTAGCCCAGGCTGGTCTCGAACTCGCAACGATCCTCCTGCCTCAGTCTCTTGAGTGTTGAGATTATAGGTGTAATAACTATACCACACTTGGGCTAAGTTGTTTTTTTTTTCCCTGGTATTGGGAATCGAACTCAGGACTTCCGGCTTACCAGGCAGGTGCTCTGCCGCTGAGCTAAACCCCCAGCCCCCTGGGCTAATTTTTTAAAAAAATTTATTTTTATTTTGAGACAGGGCCTCACTAAATTTCCCAGGCTAGGCTTGATCTTCTCGCTGTGCAGTTCAGGCTGGCCTTGAGCTCACTTTGTATCCCAGGCTGGTCTTGAACTTGCAACAATTCTCCTGCCTTGGCCTCCCAAGTGCTGGGATTACAGGTGTGCGCAACCATGCCTGGCAAGGTTTGATCTTGCAGTCCTCCTCCCTCAGCTTCCCAGAGTGTTACCACAACCAGCTTTCTTTTTTTGTTGCGCACACAGCTTTCATAATTTCTTCCAACTCTACTAATTGGCTTTAAATGCTAAGGAAAAGCTCTTTCTCTTATTTACTTACTCATTTGTTTATCTTTCAGTTTGAACTCATGAATTTTTATTGTATTAGGTGGATTATAATCCCATATTAACATTTCCTTTGGAGGGGGAGGTGGTAGGGATGGAACCCAAGACCTTTCAAATGCTAAGCACACACTATTCCAGCCATCTTGTTATCAAATTTGATGCTCTAATTATCTCAAATTTGTCTGGAAAGGAGCTTCAACTCCTTCTTTTTTTTCTCCTTTCTGGCATGGGGGTTGAGACTGGGGAGCACCAAGCCACATCCGAGCCACCTCCTTAAGCCACCACAGCTGGCTTCAACCATTCCCTGAGTGATTATTTTCTAGCACAAGCATTTCTCTGTCGAAAGTGCTTGTGCTTCTTTTGCCATCCAGACCTGGACCTGGTTTCTGTCGCAGGAGAGCGGGTTCCTGTCAGTGGAGAGCAGTGACTGGCAGCACTGTCTGGTGATGGGTGCGGTGATTGTCACCACCACATTGTCGACGTGTTCAGAGTTACTTGTTCTCTCTTTTCCTTTTTCTCTCTCACTCCTTCTTATCCCCCACTGCCCCCTCAAGAGGCCCTAAAGCATTTCTTTGGCTGTCATTGTTCTGGACTTAGGAGGTGGATGGATTGCCCTCCTGACAGGGCACACAGAGGCTCCGAGGGAGATGCATTCTGGGAAAGCAAGGACCAACTCCATAGTCTAGCTTCTGTGTGTTGGTTTATTTTTTTGTTTTTTTTCCAGTACTGGGAATCGAACTCACAACCTTGCGCTTGCCAGGCAGGCGTTTTGCGGCTGAGCTAAATCTCCAGCCCCGCCCCCCACCCCCACCCCTCCTTTTTTTGCAGTACCGGGGATCAAACTGACAACCTGCCCTTGCCCAGCAGGCGCTTATGCTTCTGAGCCATATCCCCAGCCCCCGTGTGTTGTTGTTTTGGCTTAGTATTCTTGTGAGATTCATCAGTAATGTTTATAGAGCTGGGTGTGGTGGCGCACGCCTGTAATCCCAGCACTCAGGAGGCTGAGGCAGGAGTTCGAGAACAGCCTGGGCTACATAGCGCGACCCTGTCTCAAAAGGACAAAAAAAATGTTTACAATTATTCATCGTCATTGTAGTATAACATTCCATTGTATGTATATATCATAGTATATTTATTCTTTTTTTGTTTTGTTTTTTGTTTTTTTTTTCGGGTACCAGGGATCGAACTCACGACCTTGCACTTGCCGGGCAGGCGCTGTGCCGCTGAGCTAAATCCCCAGCCCCCAGTATATTTATTCTTAATGACATGTCATACATGTCTGTTGGTGAACATGGTATGTGTGCTGTTGCATATATTCCTCGGAGAGGAATTGCTGAACCCTAAAATATGCATATCTTCAACTTCTGTAGATATTACTGAATTGCTGTGGTTGTGCCAGTAAGTGGCTGAGGATAGCTCAGAGGCAGAGGCGCACTTAGAGTGCAGGAGGACCTGGCTTCAACCCCCAAGCCTAAATAGCCCTCCTGGGACGCTTCCTGTGATATGCTCAAGCTGTAGGTTAACTGAGAGACACTGACATTTTTTTTTTGCATGAGTCTTCTAGCATGTGACCACTGCTTTACCTGTTCATAAGTCCATCCTTGTCTCCTTACCCCTACCCACTCCTGGGGTATAAAACCAGAGCCTTAGGCATGCTGGGCAAGGACTCCTCCGCATAGGTATGGTCCAGCCCTATTTATGTAAGTCTTAGAGAATATTTTTTTTGGTGCTGGGAAGATTGAGACCAGGGGGACTTTACTGCTGAGCTAGATTCCCAGCCTATTTTATTTTATTTTGACAGGGCCTCAATAAGTTGCCATGGCAGGGCTCAAACTTGAGATCCTCCTGCCCTAGCCTCCCAGAGTACTGGGATTACAGGCATATACCACCATGCCCACGGGCTGGGGATTTAGCTCAGCGGCACAGTGCCTGCCTGGCAAACATAAGGTTGTGAGTTCGATTCCTGGTACTGAAAAAAAAAAAACCACCACCAGCCTAGTTAGAGTTATGTGGTTTTTTTGGTACCCGGAATTGAACTCAGGACTTTATTTTTTTTAAATATCTTACACAGGGTATTTTTTGTTTTGTTTTGTTTTTTTCCGGTACCGGGAATCGAACTCATGACATCGTGCTTGCCAGGCAGGCGCTGTGCCGCTGAACTAAATCCCCAGCCCCCAGAGTATTTTTTTGTTTGTTTGGTTTTTGTTTTTGTTTTTGTTTTTTTTTTTGATTCCCTGGTACCGGGAATCAAACTCAGGACCTTGCGCTTATGGGGCAGGCGCTGTGCCGCTGAGCTGTATCCCTGACCCTAGAGTTATGTTTTAGTCAACAGGAAAAAACCTTCATCTTCTGCCATCCTTAGCTCAGCTTACTGTTCTCTTTGTATCTCAAAATGCTGATTATTAAAACCTCGAACTTTATATCATTTTTCTCTCACTTTCTAATTTTTTTCCAATACTGGGGGTGGAACCCAGGGCCTTGCACCTGTTAGGGAAGCTCTCCGCCACTGGGCTACATCCCTAACTGTTCTATTCTGAGACAGTGTCTCCCTAAATTGCCCAGGCTGCCCCTAACCCTCACCCTAGCAGGGTTATAGACACAGTGCATCACGATTGGCCCTTACCACCCTTATAGTGGGTTAGGGACTTGCTATGGCTGGTGCACGCCTCGTGTATTTGTGAGTTAGCATTTTGAGACATAGTCTACCTTTTCTTTTTTTTTTTTGGTGCCGGGAATCAAACTCAGGGCCTTGTACTGGCCAGGCAGACGCTTCTGCCACTGAGCTATATCCCCGACCCCTCTACCTCTTTTTTGAACAGTGATAGAAGTATACAAAAGGATAGGGCTGGGTGTGGTAGCACATGCCTGTAAGCCCAGCACTTGGGAGGCTGAGGCAGGAGGATTGTTGCAAGTTCGAGACCAGCCTGGGCTACAAAGTGAGCCCGAGGCCAGTCTGAACTGCATAGCAAGACCCTGTCTCAAAAAAAAAAAAAAAAAAGAACAGGGTACAGGCTTTTTTAGACATAGAGATACATATTTAGACATGGGCTACATTTTTCACAAGTAATCTTTAATGTGTAAAAGCAACAATGGTGGACTATGCTTTGAAATTCTAAACGCTTTTTTTTTGTTGTTGTTGTTTTTCCAATACTGGGAATCGAACTCACGACCTTGCACTTGCCAGGCAGGCGCTGTGCCGCTGAGCTACATCCCCACCCCTATGCTTTGACACTGGGTGTGCAGGGTAGGGTCTTGAATTATGTCTCCAGCTGGAGGGCTTTAGTGTAGTGTGATGCTTTAACTAGCCCTAATGGAACGACTAAACAGAGTAGTTTGTGAGTTCATCTACCAAAGTGAAAACTCCCTTGTGTTTATGCTGCTTGTGCTCTTCTGCCCTGAACATTAGAGGTATTATGTGTTTGGTTACCCTAAATAGCAACTTACTAGATACTCTGTAAAGTGTGCTGCGTTTAGTACCCTGCTGCCTTCCAGGTGCCAGTGCCTGCCTGCCCACACTGCTGGATGTTGAACCCTGGGCCTCACACATGCTAAACAAGTGAGCTGTACCCACCCTCCTTTTAACTGAGACAGGATCTTGCTATATATTTCAGGCTGGCCTTGAACTCACTGTACACCTCAGGCTGGTCTCAGGCTTGTGGGATCCTCCTGCCTCAGCCTCCTAAGTACTGAGATTACAGGTTAGCACCACCATACCCTGCTCAAGTCTTTTTCCCCCCATCTTTCTTTTTTCTTTTTGACACAGAGTCTCCATACGCAGTTCAGGCTGGCCTTGAACTCACTTTGTAGCCCAGGCTGGTCTCGAATTGGCAACAATACTTCTTTCTGCCTCTGCCTCTTGAATGCTGCCACTATCTTTTTAACTAATGGAATTTCCATCATAATTGAAAATCTACATATTAAGGGGTGTTAAATGATCTGAGCTGAATCACTGCCTGCCTGCTCTCTGATGGTAGCAGTACAGCTCTGTCTTCATCATCGGTGACAGGCTCATTGTATTTATGGGAGCTGGGCAGGAGCCTCGCCACCAGTGGCCACTACTACCTCAGTGTTTCAGGCGGCCGGGATGCTGCACCGAACGTTTTTGCTACTACCTCCTGCAAGTGCAGGCAGACGTTACTGTCCTGACTGCCCTCTGGGAGCCTTCTTGTGTCACTGCTGAGACCTGAGCAGGGCGCTGCACCCCGGCGCTGGATGATTGCAGGAAAAGCCTTCCGCCATGCAGTGTGCATGCATGCACCCCGCGGAGGAGAGGAGCTCTGGTCACTCTTGCGACCTGCAACCCTGCTGAGCCGGGCTGCTTCTGATTTCTTGAACCTTACCACTTACTGTAGGGAAGTACGTACTGCACTGTGTGGCTACTTTTTGTGATAATGTCCCAGACTTAGTGTAATGCACGTTGCACTATTATAATGAGCACACCAGCATAGTACATGTTTGTTTGTTTGATACAGGGTCTCACTGTGTAGTTCAGACAGCCCTTCAACTCACATATAGCCCAGGCTGGCCTCGAACTTGTGGGGATCCACCTGCCTCGGCCTTGGAGTGCTGGGATTACAGGCATGCACCTCCACGCCTGACGCGTATTTATTTTTCAGTGGAGTTTAGCTCCACATCTCTTCTGTTGGTCTACCTATTTGTTTTCTATTGTACCTTAGTGATCCAAAGGCTGATGGTGACAAAACGGCAGATGTAAGTCTCCAGCATTGATGGGGCTGTGAGGGATGTGGCCCAGGTTTCATCAGGAAAGAAGGAGGAAGGGTCTTGTGTTTCTGCACAGTCAGACTGAAATAAGAGACAGCTAGCAAGTGAATCACACTACTCTGGACAGTTCAGCAGATTGCCTGGGTAATGAGCATCAGCACTCAGGTCCAGTGAGGAGTATCCAGAAGGTGTTGGTTGATTATCAGCTTTTCATGCCTGCTGTGAATGCAACAAAAGACAAATCTTGCCTTTCTTCTGATTTAATTATCCCCACATAGCTACCAAGTCACTCTCTTTAAAAGAAGGCCATGGTGCCAGCTGTGGCGATGCACGCCTGTAGTCCCCACACTCAGGAGGCTGAGGCAGGAGGGCTGCTAGCAAGACTCTTGAAAAAGAAACAAACAAGCAAGCGGAGAGCAGTGAGTGATTATGAGCTACAGGCTGGGCCGGGGATATAGCTGAGCAGCACAAGCA